TAGAGTGCTATATTACATGTGGAATAAGTAAGGTTTTTAAGCAGTTTGAAATAAAGAATTAGGTTAGACCTAAGCCTTCTTTTCCAGAGGGGTTCTAGTCCTAAGATATGGCATCTGGATTTGTAGTCAGTAAGTTGGTCATTCTTATGTATTTTGCGAGTGAAGTCTCGCTGTATTCCTTCCACATTAAGTATATCAGATAGGCGTAGGTTGGAAAATAAGAACGAGCAGTATTTGACGATGGGTCTTACGCAGGTTTTATACAGGATGATTTTAGTTTCCTTTTGAAAGAAATTACGAAGGATGAAGCCAAGCAATCTTCGCATTTGAGATGCTTTAGTTGAAATATGTTCAGAGAAGTTAAGACTGTCGGAGTAATGTACCACAAGGTCAGTTACTGATGTCAGTCTGAGCAGTGGATTTTTGTTAAGTGCTAGTTTTAGTTTAAGTGACGCGTTTCCAATACATAGCCAACCGCATTTCTCTGTGTTGAGCTCTAGCCCCCAGCGTTCGCACCAGTCGTGTACTTTGTTGAGTTCATGTTGGATCGTTTGCATAGTACTTCGTACACCACCAATGTCAGTTTTATAGATGACTTTTAAGTCATCAGCGTAAAGGTAGGTCTTACCTGTGGTAAAACACTTGCATATATTGTTGATATAAATTATAAAGAGCAATCGGCCCAAGACACTACCCTGCACAACACCACTGGTTATTGGTCGAGGTGTAGATGTCGTAGAGTTAAGCTTGGTTTTTTGGTATCTGTTTGTGAGGAAAGACTTAATCCATTGCAATAGGGAGTTTATAATTCCAACTGACTGGAGTCTGTTGATTAGAAGATTATGGAGTAGTTTGTCAACGGCTTTCTTTATATCGAAATAAAGTATAATCACTAGCTTTTTCTGGTCACGTATGCGAGTAACCTCGTTAAAGAAGTCTATCAGACATGTACTACATGATCCACATGGTTTATCAGTTCTTCCTTAAGTAGGTGATCTGATAGTTGACTTTGTATCACTTTTTCCATTATGCGCGAAATAACTGGGGTGATATTTATAGGTCTGTAGTTTCCGACCAGGTTTCTCAGTCCTGATTTGTGTTTGGGAAGAACATACGTTACCTTCCAGGCTTCAGGATACGTACCCGCCTCTAATGATAGTGTGTATATTTTGAGCAATAACGTATGTATATCCGGCTCCGACATTTTATAGAGAATTGATGGTATATCATCAACACCAGGGCTCGCATTCGGCATAAGGGTTTTGATGGCGGTATGTATACTCCTAATGTCAAAGTTTATGGTGCTAATATAGCTTTTGCTTATGCATTTTATGTTGAAATCTGGGGCATTAGATGTATTCCCATTTTGTGAAAACCATTCACTAAGCAGTTCGCATATGACGGTTTGGTCGTAGTACGTCACGCCATCGTGCAGTAAAGAGTAAATGTTGTGATCTTCGTTCTTTCCCATCCGTTTTGCAAGGAGCCGACATAAGTTTTGGACTTTAGATGCAGCTGTGAGCGCGGAACGTTTTTCGGTCTGTTTGTTTTTGTTGTGATGACTTTGCACTCCTTCAAGTACAGAGTATACCTGGTGCAGTGCACTTAAGTCTTTTGATGTAAAGTACGTTTTTCTTAGTTTTCGTAGCTTAGACTTAGCCTTTTGGTTGATGTAGGGCGCAATTGTTTTGAATACAATTTTGGCAGGGATGGTAGTGTCTAGTGCAGATTTGGTGGTAGTATTGAATATTTCCAGTGTTTCTAAAAGGTTATCACTGGTGAAGAAAGTGTTCCAGTCAGAATGCTTCATAAGAAACCGAAAGTTACTCCAGTCGGTGTTTGTATAGTCTCTATATTGGAAACACGTATTTAATGTCTCTAACTTTTTGCGCTTGGCAAGAATCGGAAGGGTGCAGAAGACTATTTTATGATCGCTATTATGGAACTTCTCGCCAGCCACTATTGATGCTGGTGTGATATTGTGACAGAATATTAAGTCAAGAATGTTGTGATTTCGAGTAGGCAAGTTAACATGTTGCTGCCAACCGTGTATGTCCAAGGACCTTAGTATTCCTTCGTAGCACGGTGGGCCAGAATGTGTCTTCCAGCTGATGGTTGGAAGGTTGAAATCACCACAGACAATTTTGTAGGCGAAGTCAAGCGAGGCAGCCTTAGCAAATGACTCACTTATAATGGTGTCAGTCAGACTGGGGGTATTCGGAGCTCGATATATACATCCGATTAGTATTTTACATTCAAGGAAGTGTACAGTAAGCCACATCGAATCTGGTACTTTACTGAGGATAAGTTCACTAAACATTTCCGCCCTCATGTTTTTTGATGCATATATGAGACAACCGCCACCCTTCTTGGTGACTCAGTCACAGCGGAAGAGCTCATACGTGTCTATTTGGAGGTATGTGTCTGTGATATCGGAGGACAACTAACTTTCCGTTATCAGAACAAGTGAGGGGTTGTGTAAAAGTAATAGGGCGCGTAGTTGAGCTTTTAAGACAAGAGACAGTTATCGACGGTGAGAAAGATGTGTCATTCCCCATCAGGTCGGAGTATATAGAAGGTGGTCTCAGAATGGTGGAATTTGGAGACCCCATAGCAATACTGTTGAGGGAGAGAGAGATAAAAAAGGATGAGGTGGTGTGTGTACCAAATTAGGGGAGATCAGAGAGTTATAAAGGGTGGTTTGGTTCTGGTAGTATTTAGAATCGAGTATTGAGTGAAATAAAAATCATATTGTTTACAATCAGTTTTTTTTCACCATCCGATGCCTGCCACACAGTTTTCATGTAAATCTATTTCAGAACACAACGTTTGGACTTTGCATTTAGTACAAAGAACAATATGAAGAGAGCTTTTATAATATAAATCTAAATGTTTCGTTAATACTTTGGTAAAGTGATGTAAATCAGTGAACACACAGAATATGTAATAATGGCGAATGGACTACATTGAAAAATATAACTACTAAGTACTTCCTTTTAATTGATGCACATCAATTAATTTCCTAAACAAGTATTGTCTAATTTACCATCGTTCTGTGACGATGTCAGGCTTTGCAGAGCATTTTGCAAGCGAGATGACATGTCGATAGTACAAGAAGTTCTGATTCAACTTCATAGTTGGTCTAATGAGAATGAATTTATTTTCAACACATTAAGGTTAATGTTTGTCAATCTGAGACATGTGGTGTCGTTGATAAACGATAGTGAAGCAGATCACTAGTTGTCCCAATCAACATCAAGGTTTAGAAATGGTGATTTCATTTTAACAGCGTCTGATGCGAAATGAGAAAAATATGTCTTAGGAGCAAATCTTTCACTGATAACGTTGAAGAGAATTCTAAGCCTGTTGGACCACAAGATTTTCCACTTCATCTTGAACAGTTTCCTCTCTTATTCTCACAGTATAAATATTCACTGAACGTTATCCAATGGCCTGCCTCGAGATCAGTGTGGAGACTAGAATTTAGGCCTTATGAAGAGCTTCCCAAATCACGAAATCCGTAACTCCTTGTCTTTAGCGAAACAAACATATTCTAGATCTTCTCTCTATATGAATTACGATACCTGTCAGTTTTCTAGACTCTGGAATAATCTACCTCCAACTATCCTTATGTTAAACTCTCTCCCATTGTTTGTTCGCTGCATTCAGGCAGACTGCTCAACTGAAAATGTACTAAATGCTCTAACACCTGTAAGTGTATCTTACTACAAAAGTGAGACTATCAGAACTTTAAATTTTGGATCACTCGCTGTCACTTTACATTAACACTTTCACTAGCAGCTCTAACACGTTTGAATAATATCTAAGATGAACAGTGGTAACCTGACAGACATATATTGGCAATCATTGTTTTGTTGTTCTGTACTCTTTGATTTTATCTTACTTTGTCTAGTTGTAGATAATTATCAGTAACTCGATCTGGCACTGCAAATAACCTCAAAGAAATACGTTCATAAATCATTACGCTATCCACTTAAGAAAAAATTACAAGTTCCCTGGTGTTGCATTGACTTGCCGTGATATATGCCAAATATAAACTACTTGTCAACTACTAAAACAGCAAACATAAAACAATCTTATATTTCACGTTTATTCTTTACATTTATGATTGCTGTTTTTATCACACCGATCATGCCTGTAAACTGGTGTGAATTCCGTAATTATCATTTTCAGAATATATTATTATCATTATTCAGAGTAAAGGTGTCTCACAGGTAACTGTCCAATGATATTTAGTAGCCCAAAGACTTCCAGTCATCTTCTAAAACAGTTCATTGAGCCCTATCTCAGCACAAACCTGAGAAGAATTACCCAGTAATTCGAAATGGACTGCATGCATATGTGCTACGCTTTAAGGGTTGTGGAATTCCAAGATTTATTACGGACTTTAATGGTCTAAGTAACGTTTCAGGAGTCTTTCAAGAGGAAACTCAACATATTCTTATGTACTCGGAAAACAGTTTCACTACCATTTGCTAATGTTACACTCTTAATCGTCAAAAGACCTAGGTTCCTACATGAAGGCATCGGTGATCCAATACTACTAGATCTGGAAGCGTGATAAACCTAAGCTTCTTCTATTCCAGATAATTGATGCATATCTGCCACCATGATCAGCTATGTGATAAAGCTGTGAAGCTGTTTAGAAATTACTCATCAAAAGTCAACTCATTTCTTACGATTGTTGAACAAATCGTTCAAGTCAATTAGGTTTGTTCTAGTTTCAATGCAGAAATTGAATGGAACAGACGAAAATCTATTTAACAGAACATTTATTATCAATAGCAACGCAGTTAACAAAAATCTTCAGAATACTCCAAATGAATATCTGTGAATATTTGTAAACTAATATAGATACTCAGTGGAAATTCATCCATTAATCCTGCCCAATCATTGTCACGTTGAGACCACTGCTGTTCGATTTACAATGGAGGTATGAATTTAAAGTAAATTGTATTATGATGACAAATGCAATATATTCATAAATCCATACAAAAAATAAGTATGATATAGAGCAGCCTTCTTGTTTGTCGTGCACATTCAGATAGTATGCTGTGAACAGACTCACCTGTAATTGTCAAAACATAGATGGATACTTCAATGTAAATGCATCCATATCAACATATGTATCAGTGAAATAATAAGCATATACAGATGTGTGTTCGTCGACTTGGATATTTCGCAATAGTCGTAAAGAACAAATGATTCACAGCTTATCCTGTGCACCTCAATGTTGGTTGGTTTAATGTTGACCTTAAATCTGTTATTGTTCATTTCTTTGTTTTGGTTATATATCCCGTTCATTCTATTTTTGTTCCTATGTTTCTGCATAATTTTCCTGATTGCTTGATAAATTGGATTGATTTCAATGTGCTTGTTTATTGCTGATTGACCTGCGTGCCAAGCTTCAAAAACATTTGTGGTGTTTTTCGAATTGCCTCTGTTGGAAATCTTCACATTTTGTCAGTCGAATGTGTGTCCGTAGTTATCCACGTATATTGATATGAGTGAAGACATGTCATGGCGTTTGACTTCGAATTGGTGTTCATTCAGGAAAACATGAAGAGTGCATCCGGTGTTTAGGATGTGGTGTTTGTCGCAGTTTGTACAATTTCTTTTGTAGATGATGTATACGTTTGAACAGATGTTTTTGCTGATTTCTGGGCAGCATATATTCCGAAAGTTTTCAGCGGTCTCGTAGTCGTTTACGATATACCTTTTATGAATGGTAAGATGATCCTTTTGCTGATTTCCATACTCGACTTCGTTTCTGACGATGGGTGCGACTGGTATTTTTTGATGAAATTGATTGGATAGCCGCTCTTCTGGAGAATGGTTTTCAGGTATTTTTCCTCATTTTTCCATGTTGTAATTGAGTTGCAATATGTCCTCGCTTTCTTGGAAAAGGTTTGTATGCAGTTGATTTTGTGAGCCCCTGGGTTGATGCTTTTGAAGTTGAGAATTTCATCAGTGTGGGTCGTCTTCCTGAACACTTGAGTCTCCAGTTTACCTGTGTCGATTCTGGTGATTATTATATTCAAGAGTAATAGTTTGTCTTTTGATTCTTGCTCCATTGTGAACTTGACGTCACATAGGTAATCTTCATGAATATATATATAAGCAAAACAGAAAAAAACAATGACAGATTTAAGGTCAACAAAAACCAATCAACATTGAGGTTCACAGGACAAGCTGTGAATCACATATAGAGAGATTCAACCACTGCACTTCTCCCAGACGTTTTTGCTGGTTGTGTCGTTCAAAAGGACTACTAAAGCTGCACGACTAAACAAGGCAGCTCAGAGAACAAAACTCTAACAAAATGACAGAAGTTCGTGTTAATCGAGTCATTGAACCAAAGGAACAAATTGAGAGAAAAATAGTTCACCACTCAAGGTCTCCCTTTCAACAAGTAATCCTCATATATCGCACTGTTTTCTTCAAAATATTTTACGATGAATTCTCGTGAATGTTGTGGATATAAAATACTGATACTCCATAGTCCTTATTCCAACAGAACGATATAATTGTGTGCATAACATTCGACGAAGTGTTATTAGAATTAAGATTTTATTATTTACTCAAAACTCACAATAAACATTATGCACCAACAACAAATCCAGGCTGAACCTTGTAAAACAAGCTGAAACAAAACAAAGAAAACAATTCACTTCAATTCATCATGTATCAATATAATTATCAGTGAGGCCACAGTATGACTCTGATAATTAACACTGCTGATTTCAAACTGATATGTACCACTTCATGTAGTAGTTCAGTCGGTATGTTATTCTGAATTTTGTCATCATGCACCTATCCTATTTCACGCTCAGAGAACAAAACTTCATCAAAATGGAAGGTGTACAATTCCGGTTTCGCTGTGATTACCATTCTGTTTTACAATCATAATAAATCATACTGAGAATCGATTTCTCCAAGGATAACATTGTTTCATGATGCTTTGTATTGAAAATATACAGTGTAAACGCCGCAACAGATTACAGAGTCTTACCAGTTTCAATTCATGTGTAAAGGGTACTGGTTCTATTTCACAATTTATACGTGATGAAACCATCATGGTAGAAAACACTGTTGTATTCGCCATGACCACGAAATGGTGTTAATAAATATCCAAGAGAGATGAACATTATATCAGAAAAGGAATATTTGTTTCGAATATTCCTCCATTAAATATGAATTAAAAATGTAAGTCTATAAAGCAGTGTAGAATATTTTTTTTGGAAATATTTCGCTGATGATTATGAGCGGTGTATATTGTTCGGAACAGTGTTACTATTCGAGGAAACGATTGGAAAATGAATAATCATAATTACCCACTACTAGTTTGTGGAAATCTGTGATAAGACAAACTTACCTTGTGCAGTGTCAAGCCTAGAACATAAAGAATGAATGCAGCTACTATAAATACACAATATATCGTGAACAAGATTCTTTTCCCTTTTCCTTCGGAAAGTTGTAGATTTGAGCCGAAAAAAATGGCTAAGACGCAGAATATGTCAGCCAAAGTTGCAGAAATCATTATTTCATACCATTTTTCACGTGACATTAGTAAAACAACACCAACAAACAAAATTATCATCTGAATAGAGAAAAATATATGTCCATTTATCAATAGTTCGGAAATTGAACAGGTCAATAACTGAATAAATAATGAGAAACTAATCTTCACTGTATTGCATTCGGTTGATTTGGATGATTAAAAATGAATATCTATGGATAAAAGCACATAACAAGGTTTATCACAATGACAAAACTGAAATATTTTCAAAGCTGATTCGCTCACTCAACACACGTGACCAGATTATGTGAGGTTTATCACCTAAACAGTGTGAATTATTATGTTAACTTGGATGAACGAAAGACTACGACAGCCAGTAATATAAGATTGACACTAGAAACATCAAATGATGACTTGTGTATCATTAAACATAAGTACAAAGACAATCAAAGTGTGTAGTTGATTACATAAATGAAAATGACAAAAATCTAATTTGTTCAGTTATTCTGCGTTTACAACTCACTCCACATCTTGAAAGTGGTCAGAACACCAAACGTGGATTAAAGTTCAATTCACACGTATTATGTGTATACACGTGTACATAGTTCGGAGTTATCTATGATATGGACATATACTGCCTAAAGTTATATTATTTCCAACAATTATCAGTTAAGTAGTAGCTCGTTATTCAATCTGATGACCGATGATCTGAGTTATATGCATCGACAAATTTATGAAATCCGTGAAAATATAGAAACTTGATCTCTACATATTATGACATGTTAACATACAACATGGGAAACCATCTGTTCAAGACAACATTCAAGAATTCATCTATCTAGATTGCCGTTATCAAACTAACATGTTGACTTTGTTATTATCCAGAGAACTAATCTACACTAAATTCAATCGATAGTTGAATGGAAATATCATGAATGTAATTTTAAAATTATATTGAACTGACGGTTATAACCATGAAGAAAATGTTCAGTGTAGATGTAGAATGTAGTTTTCTAACGAGTATTATTATTAATCCAAAAACTACACCGATCAATCTGAAATACAAAACAAAAACATGTACAACATACTAAACTTATAGATACAATAGATCATAAGCAATTTGAATCAAATGTACCACATGATATGTATGAATGAGATGGTTGAAGAAGATGTTTAACTTCTCAGTTCAACATTTTGGAAAGATTTTAAAACTTGCCAAAATAATGGATTAGTGGAATATCTAGTGATAAACTGCCTTGGACATCTCATAACATTCATTTCTGTATGATCATTTGCTATGATGTGATGTAACACAAAATGACAATAGTTTGTACTGAGAAAGAAATCAACTGCTTTACTATCTTTTTCAAACATGATATTCTTGTCAAAAATGAATGAAATTTTTAAACTAAGTGTATTATTCAGTTCATGGAATGTTACGTAATAAATGGAAACACACGAACATTGTCATTGTGACTAACGGTGACTACCTGTTTTTTAAACAAACATTACTTACGTTAGGATGAGTCCACTGAGAACAAGTGAGTCATTGAGGTTTTGATACCTGAATCTGTCAAATGGAATGATAATTGTCTTACATGCAATGAGAGTGATTCTGACCGGTTTCTGTGAACACATCGGTGAATGCAAATGTCATCATCGTATAACTATCTGTAATCAAGATGTGTGGTCAAATCACCTTTGAAAATTCACCTTGTACAATCAGTAATTCCAACTTCAACTGAAATAAGAAGGAATTCACAATACGGTCATGGAGATATTCAATTTCGTGGATTACATAAAACATTCAATATTCATTCGCATGTTTATTTCTTCCCCTATATCATTGTATGAAACTTGATGCCATTAGATTCACGTTAGCTACTCGCTGCATACGGCGTTCCAAAGTCAATCACTTAATTCATTCACACCAGTGAAGATACTTAAAATTGAAAAATATATATTCATCCCAATAAATAATGCTCCATGTAAACATGTCGTTCCTTACGTTAAGTCATTTTTTTCTCTCTGATATATTTTAGTTAAATAGTGAATGTCTAACAATCAAAGAGTGATCACCTTCCAATCTTCAATGAAAAACACTTTGGTAGGTATCCTGATGATCCTGTTGTGAACATTAGGTTGGAGTATTTTCACCTCATCATATCCTCTTGAAACGAATGAGGTTTTTTTTCTTTCAGTGAACGATGATCTGTTATTGATGGTCTCACACATATTCTTTCATAAGTTAAGTTGCTTACTAAGCCCTGAAGACGAATAACACTCAAACACCATGTTGTGATGCATAAGTTAGTGTGTTTGAGGATTCGGCAATGAAAACAATGTCAAATTTAACTTATTGTGATGAAGTATTTCCTCTGCACTCTCTCCTTTTACCCATTTGACATTGATCTCAGGAAAACTATTTATCCGGCTTTTTACATAAAATGACTACATGTCATCGGCATTGTTCGACATTTGCATTGAAGATTTGTTGATTCTGGCATATCATCTACGATTCATAACTGTCGTCCATTATTATTTCCTTTGATCTTAGGATAATAGTTTGTCTTATTGAGGAGATTGCTGAAAGCAATGTGTGGAGTGTGTAAGAAAACTAGTTGAAATCCTTTTTGCTGAAGGTTCTACATTGTAATTGACATGTACGAGGGAATGAAACCATCATACGATTGATCAACAAATCTCAACTCAAGCCTAAATTATACATTTCAATAGAAATGAACAAACTCACCCAGAATTATTCTTCAGTTCAGTCAACAATCAATCAAAATAAAACTACACAAATTTATAATGAAATTCACCAGTTACTTGAATCACATTTATTTACTTATAAGTGGTTATTATTTTCATTGTACTTTGGTTAATCTAACTCTTGTGCATAACAAGCGATTAAGTGACTCGGTTGGAAATGAAAAAAAACTGATATACCTGTTACTTCATTGGAAATCAATGCATAATAATACTCTGAAATTTAAATGATAAGCGATCTAAATGATCCGATGTTCTCAATGACTGATCCACAGTGTATTGACGTCAGATGAGATAGCATCAAATTATTGACAATGTCTAGATATCTATTTTTTGATGGTTTGATTAGTTTCTGTGGTCCAGATCGACACATCTAGTTCATAATGAATACATACATATAAATATGTAATGTGGCTGATGATGGAAGTCCTTGAGGACAGCGAAACACTATGTTTCATGTAAATACGCACTCCTCAGTAACATGTAAGTATTGTTGTGGAAAATGACGCTTCCATTTCAGTGTCTATTAGCCTCACAATTGATATATTTGCAACGGAACTATTCACCCACGCTCTCTTCATCCGTTTGCATGTAGGCTGAACAACTGCATATAAGAATGCTGTGCGTCAACATTGTAAATTCTTCTTACAACTTCACTTATTTGATGGGTTGAGTGCTCGAATACTCACGGAAACAGGCAATCAATTAGCTTACTCTTAACCTGGTGATTGGAAACTGATAAATTCCACTCAGTTCAACTGATGGATTATGCGTCATGGTACACAGGTAATCAAAGTAATGTAACAGATGATTATGTGAGTTAACATAACAAGTGAGGTTGCTTTGATAATAACTAACCAATATGTAAACTAACAACCTTTTTTTAAATCGATCTATTCAGTTTGAATAAGTTCATGACGAACAAAATAGAGATAGAGTCAATTTACTAAAATAAATTGTACCATGGCATGAAGCAATACAACGAACAAACAACTCACTCTTCGTCTTTGTCTGTATAAACATCAATCACTATCAAACTCCACGATTGGTATTAGTTTATATCAATAGAAGTAGACCGAGTTTGTCGACATGTTAGAAAGAACAAATACATGAATCAATAGCAGATTTTCAGAAAGGTAGCAATCAGGTCATTTAGCCGTCACTGAACTTACTGAAATAGGTACAATTTATCATAAAAAAGCGTCATGTGAACGGGTGAGGCAAAAGGAGAAGACAATCCAAAGTTAGGGTCAACGGCGCACTACGAATGTTGAAGTTCAGAGTCCTTTTATACTACCTCTAAGGGGGCAAACTTTCTACGTTCACCTATCGATGGAATTATCGCAGTTGATGTTGTCTAGAGGGTCAAAGGAAACCATCCGCCTAAAATAGTGTCAGACTAACAAAACCATTCACTGAAGAACAAATTATTTGTCAATGTGACGACGTGTGTAATGTTGGAAAATACGATTGTTGAACAAATCATTCAAGTCAATGAGGTTTGTTCCAGTTTGAAGTATAACCGAAATGTGTTTCAATGCCTGTTCGTATTTTAAACGAATACGTTCAATGCAGAAATTGAGTGGAACAGGCGAACATCTATTTAACGGAACATTTATTATCAATAAAAATGCAGTTAACAAAAATCTTCAGAATACTCCAAATGAATATCTGTAAATATTTGTCAACTAATATAGATACTCAATGGAAATTCATCCATTAATCCCGTGCAATCATCGTCACGTTGGGAGTACTACTGTTTGACTTACAATCGATGAATGTGTTTAAAATAAATTGCTCTATGATGTTAAATGCAATAAATTCATAAATGCATACGAAAAATATGTATGATAGAGAGCAGTCTCTTTGTTCGTAGTGCACATTCAGATAGTATGCTATGAACAGATTCACCGGTAATTGTCAAAACATAGATGGATACTTCAATGTAAATGCATCCATATCAACATATGTATCAGTGAAATAATAAGCATATACAGATGTGGGTTCATGGACTAGGAAATTTCGCAATAGTCGTCAATAACAAATGAACAGTAAGTAACTTGGGATTTTATCTATCGAATATTGACAGATTATCATTTGTATAACAACATCTTGAGATGGTGGAGAGGATTTGTAGCTCAGGTGGGCGATTTTAATGGACCATTTTTCTCTGAGCTCCCTTGTTTAGTCGTGCAGCTTTAATAGTCCTTCTGAACGTCATCATCAGCAACAACGTCGAGTAGAAGTGGAGTGTTCGAATTTCTCTATATGTGATTCACAGCTTGTCCTGTGAACCTCAATGTTGATTGGTTCTTGTTAACCTTTAATCTGTTGCTTTGATAATAACTAACCAGTTTTGTGATTTTGTTAACTGATTCAACCATTAACAATAACGAAGTCGATATTCCTTCTCATGAGTGAATTATCATACAGTGCTGAACAACTATCAAAATGTCATCGAATCCATTCACCGAATTCCACTTGATCAACTTCTTGACACGAAGTGTTATCGAACAGTTCGATTTCTATGATGGAGGAAATCAACAATATGTGGAGCTTAAGTTAATTAAATTTTACCTTCTGATCGTAGCACATAACCAGTTAAAGATTCACTCATGCAACAAGTAGTATTTCAAATAATACGGTTCATTCCATTGAATACAATAAGTTTTCAACATGAATTCAGACCTGACCGTTCTTCCAGTAACAGAATCGTGTGTTATTTAAATTATTAAGAATAATTGTTGATGTCTGATCAACATCTTTATAAAATATCCTTATTTACGGATGAACACCGTTTGTAACTGTAACTGTAAACAAAGATATCTCATCAGCCCGTTTGTAAAATAATCAAACTGTTGAATCACTTGAGCGCAAAATATACCTCTAGTTTGTTCCAATTTTGACCGTTGAAACTGACTTACACTGTTAATTGAGAGGTCCAATTAGTTGTATTACAGCATAAAAATATTTATTCCAAACTAGTTATGGATTTGCTTCTTATAAGCTATGTGCTGACTCTTCTCACTGTTCTCCGTCTCTCGAAATCCTGTCAAATTGTCACGCGTATACAGAAACTGACAGGGAAGTCATACTCACACAAAATATAAAACAAATCTTTTATATTGTCTGAAAATGGTGTATTTCTTATAAACTCATTTTTTTTAATAATAATAACACATTTCTGCAATAGCAGGTACACGCCATTTTTACAGGCATGATCTACAACTTACAACATATACTGGTTCACAGTATTCATCCCAAGCAAGCTTGTTTAGTAATTATAATCTACAAAAGTTTATAGCAGTTCATTCGTTCACATATAATGTGTTTTCATAAGAATAATTTCCAAAGGGGCATCACGTCCACGTTATATACCAGATCCAATCTCGACAAAAAGTGTAATAGGGTTTCGGTAGTGCTAAGTATTTATGTAATGCAGCTTTTTAAGTTTATAATTGTTATAAAGTAGGCTTGTCGAGCGCCTGGTTCGAGCTATGACTTTGAGAAAGCGGGTTCGTCAAGCTTGTTCCAGATGTCAGAAGTTACATAGCTTCACACTCAGAGCAAGATTCTGAAGGGAAAATAAAGGAAAAAAAACCGAGGAGCAGCATGGCATTTGCATATGAACGATAACCAATGTTTAACATTTATTAGTGGAACAGATGGAGCAATGATAAATTATTAGATCAGATTGATACTAGCTCATGTTGCAAGAGTGAACTGCGATTAGGGGCTCCAGAAAAGATAAGGCAGTAATTAAGAACAATGAGTTGTGATATTTATCAAGGTGAAGTAGGTTCCAATGAAGGAGGGAAGTAAAGGTTGGAATGAGGAAGAACAGAGAGTGCATATAGAGTGTAGATTGTTAAGTAAAATAACAACCATATTCTTTACAGTCAGTTTTTCTTCCATCACAGTTTTCATGTAAATCCATTTCACAACACAACGCTTTGGACTTTAAATTCAGTACAAAAGGACAAGATGAAGAGAGCTTTCATAATATAAATCTAAATGTTTCGTCAACACTTTGGTAAA